TTTAGCTTCCTGTACATACAATTACGTTTCTACCTTGGGACAGTTTATTTTAATGGGTTGTGGCATGTATATTTACATATACAATTATTGTACCCATAGTCAAACTCTTCAAATCATTATTTAATTTATTCTGTGTTAGAATAGTCTCAGCTGTTAGAGGACAGAGTGAATCTTTTTTTCCATCAAATATTGTGCATGCTGCAACCAACACGCTTTTTCAATCAGAGATGGTTGATGGTTGATGTTCATCAAAGGAAAGTGTTAGGTTGCAAAACTCGGGTCAAGAAAGTCCCCCGCGTGTTAATCGGAAAGAATAGACTTGTTGCTTTGACATTCCAGAAAGCAATCTGGCTGTGATTTAAATCTTTGTCTTTGCTGTGTAATAACACTTCAGCTGTCATCCCGCTGTTCTACCTTTTTCTACTGCTCGCCTACTTTGCTCACATGTAAGGGATCCTAATGTGTGCACAGGCTGGTATCTCTCATGGATAATAGTCTTTTGGAACTGTAATCTGCCCCAGTAACTCCTATCTGATGTAATGCCTTGTAATGTGTACGTAATACCAGTGGAGCTATTTATAGACCATCAGCCAATTCTCAGAGGGATGGATGCGTGAGAGCTGCCGGGCGTTCCCACACACACACACACACACACACACACACACACACACACACACACACTTGTGTACATACTTAAGTTTACTTAAGCACGTCCTCATACAGTGCAGTGCACTCCCTGTCTCTTTGTGCTGCAGCTTTGTCTGTGTTTTTCTGGTGTGTCCAGATACTCAATACTCAAAATGTACAATATGGATTTGCTTAGCGCGTGCGTCTATGTACCTCAAGATGTTTATAAGGGACCACATCTGTGTGTGTGTGTGTGTGTGTGTGTGTGTGTGTGTGTGTGTGTGTTGCCTAAAGCGCTTAGTCTGTCCCTGGGAGATTACATAACGGGGCAGTTATCAGAGTCATCGGAGAGGTTGAGAGGCCTGCTCCTCTCCATCTGAATTAGGATACAGTTAAAAGCATTAGGATGTAAAGGCTGCATCCGGAATTGCTTACATTGCATACTCAATGTGTGTACTGTCTTTGAACATACCTTTGTGTGAACGAACAGTGCATGTATATTTTTGGAAGCAATTAACTGTAATCGACCCTCCTGGACTTTTGGAGTAGATTTTCTTTCTTTTTTTATTTTTAACTTTTTAACTGTTTATCTTTCTGTTTTTCTTTTTCACTCTTTTTCACAATCTCTTTTTTTTATCAATCTGCCTTTTAGAAGAAGACCAATAACTAGAGTAGGTTAGTTGAAATGATCTCAGTCTGCTTCCTCATTCCTTCCACCCCCGGGGCAGTCCGATAGAGTATTGCCACACTGCAAGAGGAGATTTCCACAGCTAATGAAGGATCAGCTCCCACTCAAATTAGTAACACTCTCAGTTGACCGTTAAAATCTTGCTGTTCAAACCAGCAGTTACAGTTAAAAACATTGATGAGATGGTCTCTGTAATGTCAAGAGTTTCTACGATACTATATTTTACTACAACCAATACAGCTACTAGGTTTTGCACCAGCAAAATAGTTGTATTGTACTACTACCTGTATACTTATGAAATGGTTTTACATTTGGTTAGTAACACACATCTTTTCATGAGGCGAACAAACCTTTGGGCTTGGAACTTGACTTTGGCCGTGACTGACATGGCATGAGAACACTTGGCCTCGCCTCCATGCTGCGATAATCCTGTTGTTCTCTTGTTGAATAGAAGCACTTGTTGAACCTGTCATGTCAAAGTGAAGCCAGGGCACACAAAGTGAGTTGACTTATGTCGAATGGACACCAGAGAGCTTTCCTGCCTATGTTCCTTGTCAGGAACACCTATGACATCAACCATACTATTGTTTTAATCTTTGTCAGAAGGGTTAATCTCAATGGACAGTCTGAGCAACTCTTATAATTCCAGCCGCGTATGTTGAAACCTGTATTGTGCAATGTGTGCAGCCTATCCCGGGGCTTCCCCCTCCGGTGACTATCCGTGACGAAGGCGAGGGTGTGTTTCTTGGTCGGCGTGAGTGTGTTGGCACGGAGCGTATGGTGGGGACACACAGCAGTAGGAAGCATTCATGCTGCACGTTCTGCTGCAGTGTGTCAGCAGACAGTGTTTCTCTCTCTGTCTCTCGCTGGTCTCCCGCTTGTTTCCCCTTCACTCCTCTCATGTGTCTGTGTCCTGTTTCTCCCTGTTCAAAATGCACGCCCCCGCGGACGTGTCTGTGTGCATGTGCACTCATTTACACTCACGCACACACACACTCACTTTTCTCTTCCCCCGTATCCCCTCCCCCAGCCACAGGCGTTCCTTCCCTCCATCCCGACCCAAGGTTTCTTCCCGCTACAGTAAATTAACTTGTTTGTCTTTGACTGCCACCACTTTTGCCCTTTACCACCATTTCCTCCTTCCTTCTGCAGAACTGGGCTTATTCCTGGATTTCACCTCAACCACACATGTACAAACACACACCCTCCTTTCCTCCGAAAAAAAAAAAAAAATACGGGACGCAGGAGGAAGTTGCCTTAATGACAACGTAAAGCAGATCGAGCCTCTCCCCAGACGGGGCGTGTCGAGGCCTTTGTCTGTCTGATGGCATATTAAATATCAGAGTTAAAAAGACAGTTGGGGGGCAGTTGTGGGTGGGTGTAAAAGTTTTTTGTTCTTTGGGGAGAAAGAATGTTGGCACGGAGCTAATCCCCAGGGGAGGAGGAGCAGGGTCGGAGTGCTCAAGTGCTGCTCCAGGTTTGTTTCATTTCATTTGCTCTGTAATGAGTCTTGTTACCGCTGTAAGAGGCAGAGGGAGCTGACTGGAGGCTTCAACGTTAAGCCACAGGGAGGGAATGAAGAAAGAAAGAATAAGAAGAAAATCGTACCAAACCAAGAAGCCCTCACTTCAACACAAAATTGACAAAGACAAAGTTTCCTTCTTTTTTTTCTCTTCCTTCTGCACCTCCTCCTCCTCCTCACTGCCCCACACCCTTCTCAAGTGAGCCCTCGCACAAGCTCTGAAAGGAAACTGAAGCAGAAAGCTCGCAAGAGGTCTGAAAAAAGTTGGCTGCGTCTGTGCATGACTGTGCGTCTGTGTTTCTACTGAAGTGTGCACGCCTCACATAGAGTGTGTGTGTGTGTGCGTGCGTGTGCGTGCGTGTGCGTGTGTGTGTGTGTGTGTGTGTGTGTGTGTGTGCGTGCACCTCGGTGTGTGTGGGAATGATTACATCAGCCCGCTGCAGCCTTATGATTGGTTGGTGAGCGTGTGGTTTGATCCAGTGTGCCTCGGAGCCTGTGGCTGAGGCTGTAACCCTTTGTGAGGGGGAGAGAGAGAGAGAGAGAAAGAGAGAGAGAGAGCGAGGGAGGGAAAGAGAAAGAGAAGATAGTTGTCAGACTCAACTGGCACTGGAGAGCACTGTCGGGACCTGCTGCCATCCGATCTCTGCCTGTGTGCTGTACAGACAGCGGCTTTAGGTCACACAGACAATTCTTTTCAGGACGAGTGTGCAGGCCATGTGACAGGAGGCACGACTGTCAGCTGTAGGCATTCACATTTGTTTATTTTTGGAGAAGGAAGGGCAACATAACCGCAAGGTTTTCTGCCTTAGTGGCTGTGTGAGAGTTAGTGTGCGTGCGTGTGTGTGTGTGTGTGGGGGGGGGGGGAGCCACGCTGACACCAAAAATGCCTTCGTGTTCGGCGGACTGCTGCCTACTGCGGGCCGTGGAGGTAAGACCGCTCTCTCCCTGCGTCTCTTATCTCTCTCTGTGGGTCTCAGCCCCTCGTTGCCTCCTTCACTTTTTAAATGTGAAGTTAGTTTCTCTTCGAAGGACCGGGGGCGACGCGTGGAATGCGTAAATACTTTAAAGGGCTGAAGACTATTTGTCTGTTTTGAGTTAAAAAGAAAAGAGTCAGATAAGTTAGCAGCTGCGTTTGGTGGATGTTTCCTTTCCATTGCATTGTGGATGGACAGAGTGCCTCAAGCCCAATATGAGCTACGGAGAACAGAATGTCTTTGTCATAATATATGATGTGGGAAGTGTGTGTATGCTTAGTATGCTGGATTCCCGTGTTGACTAAAACGACTGGTATCTCCTGCAGGTTGAGCTTCTGTGGGCCATTAGATGTGTATCGTGTCGATGTGACTGCATGGGTTCTTTTCGGAAAGCCAACCTGTCGACCTCGGTGGCGTATATTTAGGACTAAGTAGTGGCTCAGCACGTGTGTGAGTACGCGTTTGAGTCAGTATTAATAATGCAGTACAGTTAAATTGGGTGTTATCCACATGATTTAATTATTACTGGTCCAATTTCAGCATATTAGATTATGAGAATAACTTTCGATGAAGCTTGAAGCGTATATAATCATCATGTCTAACTTCTGGGTACTTGCATACATTTTTGTAATGACTATGATTTGAAACATCACGCACACGTACCTCTTAAACTACAGTGCTCCCTGTATCCGTTTTGTGCAGGCAGTATTGGAAGCCGTTCCTCGTTACACACACTACAGTATTTTTTATTTTATTTTAACACCAACAAGCTGCTATAAGAAACGCTTGTCTGTGATTTTGTACACCACAAATGCTGCATAGTTTAGAAGTTGTTCTTTCTATTGTATGCTGTAATTACAGGCCTTTGTATGTCATAGTGTATGGGGCGCTATATGATAAGTACCATGATAGTGTTTGAAGAAAATTGCTGGCTTCACCCATCTATTAGGCTGCTTTTTCAAAAATGGTTTGTGTTAAATGACTTTATCACAACTAACTATTCCCTGAGGGGTTACCATGAAATGTATTTTCATGTATATCTTATATATATCTGATATCAATCGTTTTCTCCTTTTGATTAAATCAAGGAGACCCGAATAAGCTTTTTGTCCTTCTTTACTCAAACACTTCAACGCTTGTTTTGCCAAACTACCATGAAATAATTCCCAATGTGTTTTCATTCACGCAGATTGTGAAGGTCTTCAGTGAAGACGGCCTGGGTAAAGTTGTGGAGATCCCGGCCGGCATGACAGCCAGGGACCTGTGCCAGCTCCTGGTTTATAAAAGCCATTGTGTGGACGACAACAGTTGGGCACTTGTTGAACACCACCCGCTGCTGGGGCTAGGTAGGAGTCAGAGCCCCGCAGGCTCCGAACGCGCACACACACACAAACACACGCACACTTGCATACCTACACACAGACTCAGACATGCAACACAATCACTGGCACACACAGGTGCATTGACACATATTCACATGTGCTCGGGCAGGCGCATATTCTCACGGAGGAATGCATTCACCGATGAGTTCATGCACATTCTACGCAGCGTATGCACGCACGGAGCCGTCATTTATTTGTCATTGTAAAAAAATGTAGGTTAAACGTGATGCTGAACTTTGTCGCAATAACGTCTTATGCTAAATACGGGAATGTCGAGATGAATTCAGTCATTGTCGTGTTTACCAACGTGTCATTAAAAGGAGCCATGTAGGGCTGATAAACATTCCAGCTTCAGTTTATAGTCCGCTGGAGGGGAGTGATGTGTGTTTGAGCTCATGGTTTCCTAAAGTCAGTGCAAGTAAACAGCCAAATAACTGTATGTAGAGACAGTATTTCCAAAGGGCCCTTAATAAATCTCACTAATATTGCAGGACCTGTTGGGGAACTCTCGTTGGTCCCCTCTCATAAATTAAAAAAACTTACCAATTGATAGACAGTTCAGTCCTAAAGTCTTTAGACTTCTTTAAGTATTACATAATTATGTTATTGGTATTGGTGGTTGAGAAACGTTTATGGTTTATGCAGAGGATGGAATAGCGAAAGCAACATATATTTTACACCCTTTACCGATATTTTAACTGTGCTTTTTTCAGAATTTAGGTTACATTTTTTGTCAGTATATTCCATTTTGATGTTTTCTTTTTCTTTAAATTGGGAGTTATGGTTTCAGAGTGAAAACCAGCAGATGAGAAGCTTAAGGGAGAGAAGGTGATAATTTAAGGTTATGGATGAGTAGAGATGTAACTGATGAACACTGTAACAAAACCTTTGCCGCCTTGTGCTGCCGACAGTGTAAGAAGAAGAGGTGATGAAATGATCGATGAACAGTTTAAAAGGCTACGTTTCATGCAAAAGGTTCTTTAAACCTGAATATGGTGTAAAAACTTGATGATGGTGCAACCCTCTCAAAAATGAGGAGTCGATTTCTATGTAGAAATTATTGTAGGATATAACATTTATATGTTTTAGTTTTCCTGTAGTTAGCACTATAAACTTGGTATGTAATACACCAAGATCCTAACAGATACAAGCGTTAACATAGCTTGAGACAGTACAAAACCTTATTCAATAGAGATACTTTATTTCAGGGGCGGATTCAAGTTTTTTTTTTTTACCTGTTGCTAAATTAAGAAGTAAGAGAGCTGTGCATTGTCGGGGTGATTTTGTGTTACACTTGGCGTTGTAAGAGTACGTTTGGAAAGCTGTGGTCAGCTGAATGTTAGAAAACTCCTCACACCTCCCCCTGAGGAGAGGGCGATTATAAAGCACTTATGGAAGACAAGTTGAGCCTGTGCTCCGTGCTCATGTCTTTACAGTTTAACAGATGTGGGAGAAGAGGGGGTGCAGTTTTATATAGAGCCGTGTGCCTGCTAGTGAAACACTCTGTAGGAGGAAACAGATGTAAATACACTTCATTTCTGCTGTTGCTGCTGACATCTTGTGTCAATACACTTTCGGCTGTTTTGCTGTCACGTTAGGAAACTTTTCAAAAATATATATCATTATTCAAAGTATAGCTCTCAAAGTTAGCTAAATATTTCACCATCCATCATGATCTGATTACCTTCCTCATCACGCTGCCACGACGATGCTGCCAAATGCAGTTAGGTTGGCTTGTTGTAAACTACATCATTTTTTAGCTCGGATTAACTATTCTGTTCTATTATAGCCTTTCTCCTACTCCGGCGCACCTGTACTGCAACATTATTCTTTTCAGGCCTGGGATAACTACTTTTTATATTCTATTTTTGGGATTCTCAGAAAAACGAGATGTGACGGCGCAGCAGCGGTTTATTCATTCGCTGCTAGGGAACCAGGAAGCTCCCGACCGGGCGTGTCTATGCGTACCAGTACCAGTCTTTTTTATTTGTGGGTATAGTTTATGTTAATGGAGTCATATTAGAGCCAGAATGAGTTGGTTGTACATGTGGTTAGTCATCAGAACCTATTTCGGCTGAATCGGCTGATATCTTTTAAGCAGCGTAAAAATATACAATAATAGTCTTTCCAGAGTTGCTATAAATATTCAAATGAATGTTGCCTGCAAGTAAGTTTTAGTCAATAAAAAATTGTCACAGGCATTTACAAGTATATATAGAGGGCTGGTTGCACTGCGTACATGTGCCGTCATACTTCTTGTGCGTGCATGCTGTTGGGTGGTAGACGAGAATAGCATTTTGCCAAAGATGCAAAACAATCGCGTGTTTGTAGAGAGGAGCGTATTCCCGTACATCACTGCCCAGTCGCTGGCGCGCTGCTGAATGGGATGAAATGGCCCTTTGAGATTAGTGACGCTGACCTCTGCTTGTCACCCTGGAGTGACAGTGAGGTAGTGTCGCCAGCGTGAGTCACTGTCACCGACATGAGTGACTCATCAGATGGCCGACAGGATGAAACGGAGGGAAAAAAAGAGATGAGCAGCGAAGGCGGATAGAAGGTGGAACGAGGGGACAGGTGCTGATGGTGCGCATGTGAGATGAAGCTTTGCAGTATTTTGGTCATTTCTTTATTTCACGTAAAAAAATAACAGTAATGCAAGTTAGTTCATCAAAAGAATTTTAATTGGATTTACTGAGGAGAGGAAGGATGTCTTATAGTAAAGACATGGCTGTATTGAACATTGCAATCACAGAATATGTATCTCCAAGACCTCTGCATGCACCCATATCCCAGACACTTTTAATCTCATTAAACAGTAAATCTGTTCATCAGTCACCGCTTGTTTAATAAGCATAAGCCATTTGAACCAGTGTGCATTTGTAAACATTATATTAGAGCCCAACAAATTACTTTTCTACCATTTGCCACTTAAATGTATTACCCAGAAATATTCATGGTAAAACTAAGCCTGCGGTCTACTGACAATATATAAATCCATTGCTGGAGTCTGCTGTTTTTATTTGCTAATGTGTGTAACTGCAACCAAGAGCTTTATGCGTGATATGAAAAGGGAGCTGCGCTTGGAACAAGCCTCTGACTTGTATAGATGGGCAGCTTCTCAACAAGAAAGCTATACACTTGTTTAATACATTGCAGTGTCGGTTTAATAAGGAGCAGTCGAGAGGATCTCACGCCACTGACGTTTTTATTGTTCAAGAAAATATTTGTGTTTGTTTAAAAAGACTAAATTTAAGTGTGTGCTTTTTTTTACTTCTCAATTGCTCTCCCTCCCACATCAGAGCGCTGTCTGGAGGACCATGAGCTGGTGATTCAGGTCCAGGCCTCTATGAGCAGCGGCAGTAGATTCCTCTTCAGGAAGAACTATGCCAAATATGAATTCTTCAGAAACACCCATGTAATTGCTTTTTATTACCCTTTTTTTCCCATACTGTGTCAGTAGTGATACTTGAAACATATGTTCCCTAATAGCCTGTGTAGAAAAATACACTTCTGTCAACAGCTCCTCGTGGATTTTATGTGAATTTTGAGATGATTTGAAATGGTTGAATATATCACACCACGTGCTTTGTAATATTTAGAGCATTCGGTCTATTGAAAAGAGATGTTCTAGAAAAATATATACTGGTGTCATTTTCTCTAAAGAGTGGCCACTTGCTTAAGAAAGGAAATGAAAGTGCAACGTTCTTCTGGTAAAATGTCTACACGTTCTGTATTCTTCTGGAATACGTTGCCAGCTGACTAATGCGATTAGCGTGACGTTCTCTTATCTTCTCCCAAACTCCGACCCTATAATTACCGTCACTGCGGCCGATGTTCTCTGCCTGTCTGACTCCGTCTCACTCCACCTGCTTCTTCTTCTTCTTCTTCTTCAGACATTTTTCCCCGAGCACATGGTTGCATGGTGCCAGGAAACCAATCGCACGATTCCGCCATCTCAGCTCCTTCAGGTACATGCGGCGCTCTCACTCAGCGCACCACACACTGTACAGTAAAGGCAACATACCTCACCTCTGACCCTCAGACAGAGCGTCTCGTCAGAGCCTGCGGTAATAACTACCGCTGATTCCCTGTTGACACATGACTGTCTCGGCATAAGAACCACATGCCCGGCTCTTACGGTGGATTGGACTAAGCAGTCACGAAAAGAACATGCAGTTCCCCTTCTGCCTACTCGTGTGTTGGCACGGCCACTTCTCATGGGCCACGTACCGCTTTCACAAAAGACGTGGAGACAACCAGAAGAGAGAAAGATTCCCGGGATTTTGAAGAGCTTCGGTCTTAATGGGCCGAGGGTTTACATGCAGTCTGGCTCGCTCCTGTCTTGGAGGTAATGGAGCTGCGGGAGGTGGAACCACAAGTGGAATCCATCCCTCCATTCTTGCCACTTCACAGAAAGCTTTTAACTCCCCTGCTGGTCATGCAGACGTTATGCTAGAGGAGTCGATAAGTGGATGCGTTGTGTCCGGGATCCCCGGCGTTTGACTTATGCTTTGACACCAGTTCTCTGCACATGGCAAGAAGTTGTGTCCAAACCGAGTTGCTTTTTTATCCGACATCATCCAGCAGTATTTATGCAGGAAGCATAAGTCAAAACCAGGCAGCAAGATGCAGTGCCTCAAAAAGAGAACTCTTTGAATGAACGTCGCGTGTGAACATTCTATCCTTGAACGTTGGAAAATGCTCATGCATGAGGCCCGTTGTGGAATGTTTCCAAAACACTGGGAAACATGTGCTTTAGATATTGAAGGGCCCTCTGGAACAGTTTTCATTCCGACCGCAAGCCACTGACTTCAGATGGGCTTTAATAACTTAACCTGCCACTTCATGGTGTGATATTTTTGTGAAACATGGAAACCACAAACTCCAAATATTCCAGTCACCCACAAGACATATTAGTCTGTAAGCGTATCCAATGGAAATGCACTAAGCTGATCCATGTACTGTATTTGTCAAACACATTGCATATAACAGCACTTCTTTATTACATACATGTTTTTTCCTTTTTGTATTAGAAATAGAAATATAAATCCATTACAAGCCCTTAAGATATACCACTTATTTATATATTTTTTAAATATTATTATTATTATTATTATTATTATTATTGTGTATGTGTGTCTACACTTGACAAAGTCAAGATCTTCTCGGCCTTCTGCAGCCCTCTGCGAGGCTCTAGAGCACGATGTCTCGCTTGATACCGTCGTTGTAAGAATTCAAGCTGCCGCCCGTCTACACCCTCAGCTGGCAGTCTGGCACCAAATAAAATGAAGCCTTTGCCACCTGTGTGTGATGCCTCTGTAGCGGTTTGCTACTGGCTTCAGATGTGATCGAAAGAGGGCCAAGGGTCGTGATGAAGGACCTCGTAGAGTGAATACATGCAAACGTTTGTTTTCTGATCCGATCAATGTCTTTCTCTCAGAACTTCCTAGCAACCAGCAGCTGTCCAGAGATCCAGGGGTATCTGTATGTGAAGGATGTGGGTAGAAAGTCATGGAAGAAAGTTTACATGTTCCTGCGGCGCTCAGGTCTCTACTGCTCTGCAAAAGGAACCTCAAAGGTAACAGCTACTTAATCTTTTCATCCTTAAGGGATCATCGTTTTTTAACAAAAAAATTTCAAATTCCAAATCAATCGTAGTAACATTTAAAGAATCAGACTTTTGTTGATGGTTGCCTCACTGCGTGTGTTTGTCAGTACAGCTGCTGGCTGAATCCCGCTGGGATGTTCTGACTTATTAATTATTTCTGTGTCTAGGAGCCCAGACATCTTCAGTTTCTGGCAGACCTTGAAGACAGCTCCATCTTCACTGTCATCACTGGCAAGAAGCTGCACGGGGCACCAACAGACTACGAGTTCTGCATCAAGGTGAGTCTCAGACGACAGAAGTGAGATGAAGCTGATTTCTAATGAAATATTTTTAGTTCTGGTTTGTTGCTGTATTTACTGGATGGAAGTTTTATATTTTAAATGTTGTAGAAAAGCAAACCGTTTATTAAAACAGTGAACATGTCTGTGCTGGTTGTAATAGATGATTGATGATTTCTGTTGTGAATCTTTTCATTGGAAGCCCAATAAATGTCGAGGGGAGTCGAAGGAGTTGAGGATGCTGTGTGCGGAGGACGAACAAGGCAGGACCTGCTGGATGACTGCCTTCCGCCTCTTCAAGGTAACATCCTTGCAAAAAATATCTGACGTAGTTGTTGATACTTTACATTGTAAAACATGCTCACATTCTCACAGTGTCCCTTTACCAGTGTGTTCCTTATTTGTTGCAGTACGGGATTGTGTTGTACCAGAATTATAAGATTCCCCTTCAAAGAAAAACCCTGCTGTCACACTTCTCAGCCCCTGTGGTGAGTTGTTTTAAAATACCCTCAAAACTTAGACCACTAAATCCCCAGATCTTTGAATACCAGCGTGATTTATGCACCACAAAAATAACTAAGAAGAAGGAGATGGCGGCGGATAAAAAACATGTTGATAACATTTTGACATAGTTGCATGTCCGCAGGTTTAAGTATTTTGTGTAAATTGTTTCTAACCCGTGTGTCCGCTGATTATTGATCCCTTTCTGTTTTCCATGTTCATTATCATCCGCATTTTTACGTTTGTGTGTGTCTGCTCCCCCCAGCGGAGTGTGTCAGAGAACTCCCTTGTGGCGATGGATTTCTCGGGGCGGATAGGCAGGGTGATTGAAAACCCGCTGGAGGCTCAGAGCGCTGCCATGGAGGAGGGACATGCGTGGAGGGTGAGACACCACCTCCGTTCTTTCTGTTTTCTCTTTTAGCTTGGAGGAAAACTCACAAGATGTCGCTATTTATTTAATTTTTTCTGAAACAATCTTACAGAGCAAGTAATTATATTACATTGGTGATTTTGGTCTTGTTTAAGGTTAGGAAATCATTTTACAATACAGTTAATAATTCTTCACCACCACCATCCAGTGAGAATAAATGTGAAAGTAGATAGTTAACAGCAACGTCATGCACTAACCCCCGTTGTTTTGTCTGTTTGCTGCTTCTCTCTTAGAAGAGGAGTCAACGAATGAACGTATTAGGCTCCCACAGTCCTCTACACCACTCTTCACTCAGCTCGGGTAAACGCAAAGTCATTTACAAAATGATTGATTGTCACATTTTGTTTTTGGGAAAGTGTACATATGTCCATTGTTTTTCCTCCCCGCAGTCATCCACATAGCTCAGATGTGGTTCCACGGTAGGATTACCAGAGAAGAGTCCCACCGCCTCATCCACCAGCAGGGACAAGTAGACGGGTAAGAGAGCAGAAGCTTTTTTATACATGCAGTTTTGCTATTCACAGGGTGATAATAAAGCAATAATGATCTAGTTAAATTATGGATATTTGTGACATTCTTTGTTAATGTATCCAAACAAACAAGTGAAATGATCATTTTTCTCAAAGCATCTCCCTTTGTCTGGTTGCACAGGTTGTTCCTGCTGAGAGTCAGTCAGAGCAATCCAAAGGCTTTTGTGCTCACATTGTGCCACCACCAGAAAATCAAACATTTCCAGATACTACCGGTATGAATTTCTTGATGTTTAAATATTTTTTTGTTATTTATTTTATTTGAAAATACCTTTTGTGTTGAAGAGGTTTATAAAGTAGCAGTAGTGCAGATAAAATTGATTCCTGTCAAGAGTCAGGTTCTCATTCACGGACGTTATTGTTCGGCCAATCACAGAAAAGCATTGTTTGTATTATCTTTGTTGGTCACAGAAGACAAACCAAACACATATACACGTTGTTCTTGAAAAAAGAAAGTTGCTCAAATCCAGGAAATCGATCTAAGAATAATATACTATGTTCTATGTTTTTTTTAAAGTGGACAGTAGTTGTTTGTGAGATTTATTGCTAACAAGGCCCATTAAAGGGTCTTAATTCTATGTGAGCAGCGACAAAAAAGTTAACTTCCTTGTATGTCTCCCTCTTCCCAACCCTTTGACGACGGCAGTGTGAAGAGGACGGCCAAGTCTTCTTCAGCCTTGATGACGGCGCCACCAAATTCACCGACCTGATTCAGCTGGTGGAGTTCTACCAGCTCAACAGAGGAGTTCTGCCTTGTAAACTCAAACATCCGTGCACCGTTGTGGCCTTATGACATCTTCGGATCATCTGACTCCATGACCCCTATTACTTGACCTGACTGCCTAAAACAAACAAAACAGCAAGATTCCCTCTGTTGGTTTGATTTGTTTCAATCGTTACAACAGGCTGTGGAATTTAGTGACGTTTTGTTGTCATTTTATATTGCCGCCAGTCACTTGTCGGAATCCTTTTGCATGGATGTCGGATGTACAACTTGCTCACGAGGCTCCTTGGTCAAGAAGAGAAAGGATTGAGGAAATGAACACTGCCGTTTGTGTCAACGCGTACTCTTACACACTCTTGCTAACCACAGTCATCAATAAGCTTGGACACAGTGACCCTCAAGGTTTTTATTCACCCAGTTGGACTTTCCCTTCAACTGGGCCTTCAGCAGGGCCGTTCACACTTTTGTTTGGACCAGTCTTGTGGTTCTCTGAGCGGTCAAACTGTCCAAGACCGAGTCGCTTTCATCACACGTCTTCAAGGATTTACTGTAGATAAAGAATTGATTGTCTTAGTTTTGGGAGTGGCCTTTGACGGTGCCTGACTTCTCAGCGGGCCGGACTGTGAGATTGTGCTGCCGCCCTCTAGTGTCATAGGCGTGTAAGGACATGTCATTATGCACGCAGCGCAAAAACAGGGCTGCTTTTGGTTTGCAAACATCGGAAGGTTGTCATGTCAAAGTAGCCTGGATAAAAACAACAAAGGGAAAACATGAATCCATTGAAACAAAGTTTTTATTAATCATCTGTTCTGTCCACCCTCACATACATGCATTTGCTCCTCTCACCATAAATGTTCCTTTGTCAATGATACGTTCATTGCAGTTATCTATTGCTGTCAAAAGACTCTTTAATAATATATATTTTTTAATATTTTGCATTCTGGATATTTGCAAGTCTTCATTATTCACAAATGCTACAATACGGTCATTGTGTACTTGTTATTCTCCATGCTTCATAATCTTATTAAGGATGTCCCATGTAGCTTCTACTGTAATGAATAAGCAAATTATCAAAAACCTTGGTGTCATTCAGGGCAAAGTAGCTAGTTATTAATGTAGAGTATGTTTGTAACCAGGGAGACACTACTGGTGATTGTAAAGTAAAAATACTATTTCGGGGGAAGTTATCGCAGTAGTACACGTCAGGCAAAAGCATGATGGCACCCCTAACATCTCCTCCAGCCGTTTCTCAAGTGGCCACACATGAAAAGAGTAGAAATTATAATGTTTGTCGGCTCAAACACAAAGTGGTAGGAGACATCTGTCCTTGTCCTGGACCCTCTTTTTACCGAGGTGTCACATGTCTACAAATTACCTATTACTTATACCTGTTGGGAGTCAGGGAGATGCTGTCAGTTATGCATGATTGAGTGTGACTCCACACTGATAATAGACTCTGCATTGCATTCCGCGTAATGCTGCCTTTTTCTGCCTGGAAGTACTTGTGTGTTGTATCACATATGCGTCCTCTAAAACTGCACGTCACGTCTTAATGAATTTATCCTGACAGTCTACAAGAATAGCTGCTGCTGTGTCGTTGGAGAAACAAAAAAGATAGCCGCCTCTCCTTTTCTTTTTTAAGCCTGCTGTTTGATAAAGTCTAAATGTCAGTAGAAAGGCAGAAAAAACTGGAAATCTAGACTTCTGACTGCGATTGTACCAATTACTAAAAGTGCTACGGGGCCCACTTATATTTTAAACACTTTTGACACCTGTTGATCATGTCTGTGATTCAAAACTACACAAAACATTTTCTGAAACAGTCCTTCTCAAAGAGGAAATAAAAATTGCGTTTCATTTAGTCCAAACTGGCAGCTCAGGTCAGGTCACAAGCCAGCAGACAACTCGTTCTATATCTGTACGTCTCTGTGATGTCACAACGTCACCAGCCGTGATTTAATGACCTGCAGGTTATGAAAATTAGAGATGCAGAGTAGCCGCACCTTATTGACTCCCTGTGCATGGTCGCGATTATTTATCCAAGATGCAATGACTCAATCATTTTTTTAAGTAGTGTTGCAGCAAAATGTATTTATTTATCTGGATGTGACTGATTACTTGAAAATGTTACATGTCTTTCTCTCAGCACTGTTCTGTTTTCCATCGTCATTACATCTATGGTTTTATTTGTATTTTCTCTTTTGGATCTTTTCACAAATATTCTTTGTCTTCACAAATACGTGTCATGGGGTGATGTTTTAAAGCACACTGGCATCCAAAGTTTTACCATTGTCATTTCAAATATGACAGCCAAATATGAAATGTTTGGAATTGTAAACAAAAATACTCCCTTTAATCAATGTTCTCATTTCTCACATATCAATAGAATTATCCGGTATTAAGAATTCCAATTTATTTGACCTAAAATAAGAAAAACTAATATGAATTAGTAAGTAAAAGACAAATGTGTCACAAAACCTGTTCAAGTAATTCTCAACATTCTCATAATTCATTGTTCAAACATCCTGGCTTGAAGAATGACTTGTGGGAATTTAGACATGGGAAAAAAAGCCCTCAGGTTCATATTTTATGAGATTATATGTTATTGAAGAAATAAATCCCACCTCCAGCCCTTCTCTCACACACACACACACACACACACACACACACACACACACACACACACACACACACACACACACACACATACATAGAGATACATTAAGCCATTGTCTTAATCATGCATACTTTTCAAACTGCCATAAACAGGTATGGATTTAGGTAATAGAAAGCAGCGCTGCTTGATGGGTTACAGCATCCACGTGTGTTCAGCAGAATAGGGAAACATAACTTAGTAGTAGGCTGTTCTCATTTGCATGAACGTGGACTATGATTGTATTGTGTAGAGATTCTGTCACTGATATTTGATACGTGAATGTTAGGGGGAAATCAGGATTTTGACAATACATAGATGATTTTGTAGTTGTGGTCACGTCACCTTTAGGCTACTGAGATGAGGCTCCGACGCCAGCTGTCTCTTAACTCCAGTCCAGGTGTCCTGAGTTGACCGTTCTCCCACTCGACTCTCAGCCTCAAACTCCCAGTATTCTCGTCCTTATGTGGGTTGACGCAAACAGTAGCATGTGTCAACAAGTAGCTTTGAGGGGGCGGGATGTGTGTGTGTGTCATATACACGTACTGTAAGTGCAGATGACAGAGAGGAAATTAAAAGGCTGAACACAATGCTGCGGATTTGGATATCAACCTTTTTACACCTAACAGAAATGAATGTGAACGGGAGAAATGGCTTGAACCCAGTTAACAATCTTGCTTGTTCTATTGTTTAGCCGTTGATATATATTGCACTCAAACATGTAAATAAAATTACAGACAGTAGAGCACAGTGTCCGTTATGGTACCATGTAATATGTAACCACAGATGATGCCTCCGATTACTTGTGGACCAAATGGCCGACAAAGCTGCCGTTGGTACTTCTATTCAATTAGAAAAACAGAAAATGAGACCCTAAATGACTGATTAATCGTCAGCCATTATTAATTACTTTGTTATTAATCATCAAGGTAATTAATATGAATTATTGTATTTTCCGCCGCACATTCAGTTTAACTCTTGGAGTTAAAAGTGAAGTTGGCCCAGTGCTGCAAAGACTGACTGAGTGATCATAATCTTGACTCATGTGTTTTCATAAAGTCACCATGCAAGATAACGGGCTGTACAAATGAGTAAAGTGAAAAAAATATATCTATGTATAAAAACGAAGATATTATGTATTTCAGGGAATACAAAAAAGTAAACAGTAACGAATCTCTTTTTCTTCAAGAGAGAGTTCTGGTAATAAAAAATGTGCTTTGCTTCAATCTGTAAATATATATATACCTTGTAACCGCTTCAGGTATTTTTGTACAAATAAGGGACTGATATACTATGTTTATTGTAATTAGATTAAAACATTAATACATTGATATAAAAAAAAGTGTTTTCTTTATTGGGGGAAACCTTTGAAACTTTTGCTAATGTAAGAATGAATCACAGCGCTATATATTTCATAGATTTTATCCATACATATATAAATGTATGAAATAGATTTATGCAGCGTGTTATACAATCCGCACTGTATGTATATTAGTTGTTATAACTATAGTTTTGTGGATTCCGGCATGTCCAGCATTTTAAAAAGTGCTTTGTCCATTATTGACATTACTAACATTGTACTCCTTTTTCCACTAGGTGGTGCAGCACCACAACTAATTTAAGGGCTGATTGAAACCGGTGTAATGGGGAACAATAAAACGCCATAGTGAACCAGTTACTCCAACAAATGATTAATTGTATACGAGTAAATGCTGTTGTAATGGAAAGCAGGTTAATGTGAGGCCCCACAGTGAGAAAACCCCATTGATCCTTCTAAGAATTTAAGGTTGGTGTGGTGTGTCACACCCTTAGGATTAAAAGTCATGCAAAAATAGTAAGGTTCCAAGGCTTAAAGATGTAAAAAGAAAAAGATAAGCATATTTGAAGTCTATGGGTGTGTAACAAAAAAATGAAAATACGTCTTTTACACAAACTTTATGAAGGTATTTTTGGGTACATATTTGATGGAGGAAATAACGTAATAATGTAATATCATCCGATGGCCTTGAAACAGAGATTTTATAATGTTTGTTAACATTGAGAAAGTTGCTCACTGACGGGAATCAATTGCATCACATGGAAGCTTATTCAAGCGATACTGTTATCAATTGTTTGCTCTGTAATGTGACTAAATATTAGATGTTGAATTGTACTTCAATAATTGGAAAATCATTAGCTTTGTTGAGTTTGGTTTTCAACCTTTTGCAAGGTATACAACAGGTATACAAGGTAACAATTAACTTGTAAATACAGCCTTGGACATCATATCATTATGCAATCTGGATTATGCCATATCATAATGTCAAATACACTATTTTGATCATTTCATTAAACTTATTGAAGAAATAAATGTCATACAGTACCGGTCAAAGGTTTGAATGCATTTTCAAACTTGACTGGTAATTGAAAAAATGTAGGTTTTTAAATGATTAAAAATTCATTTAAACATTTTAAAATGATTTTTGGGAGTTTTTTGGATGGCATGAAGGTACCCTCTTCAAAATGTGCTCACCGTGATTCTTGCTGGCAATTCAAGTTAAAAGAAGCAGTTAGGTCATGCTGGTCCACTGACCAATCACGATGCACGTTACTAAAGAGTCTATCTATTGTTTGAAGAGTATAACAATCAACAATATCGTCCCATGGACCATGGGCCTCCCTTACCTAGAGACGTGGAGCAGATTGTGATTGCTGCACTGGAAGCAGAGCAACAGAGGAAGAAGAAGCTGTGCAATGCGAAAATAAGCTACATATGCAGACTCAATTGCCACTAGCACCACGACAACACCAGCCCCCCACTCTCTCCCTCTGCCAATCCCAGGCTTCCTCAATCAATTGTGCCCCCCATACACAAAGGTAGCTAGGATGATTGACAGGCTTAACCCTTTCAAAACATGAGACACTCACTGACCTCCTAAACTGGTGTGGTGGAAGATTTTGCACAGACAATCGTTAAGTAAGAATCAAAGGCTCTGAGTCAAGTATGTCTTTTCTCCGTATGTTTCCTTGCAAGGGAAAAAGGGTCACAACAGCTACGTGGTCAGTAGACTGTCAAGAACCTCCTTTTTGCCCCCAACACATCGAGGCAGTTCTTATACTTAAGTTTAGATATCGGTGGCGTCAACAGAAACCTTTGACCATCTTGTTGAGTATCTACAGCCAGGGTACTGGGAACATCTTATCCATGTAAGACACGTCAGTTCTTTGACCGTATCCTTGCTCTCCCAACATGCTAAAACAAAGGTGGTCATAGACATAACAAACACGTTGTTCAATCTCTACAGCTATGACGCTGGAAACATCTAATCCAAGTGGGAGACATCAGTTCTTATGTCAGGGCCTTTGTGATCTAAGCACTTGCAACTAATAAACTGGTTATACAAACGAAGCATTTAAAAGTGTTACATATCATTTTCCCATTACATTCCACTCTTTTGATTTCATAATAATCACAAACTATGCAATCAATTTATAATGCATACTCTAAAAATGTACCATCTGATATCTAGCTCATCAATTATCACAAAACATGAACATCTGGACATCGCTCACAAAACTTTGCCTGCAACAGAACAAAAACTCTAACCTAAAAAAACCCCTCCAAAATGGGAAAATAGGAAGAAATCTGTTAGGAGAAGATAAGGACTGGAAACCTTCTCACAGGATTTGAGCGTTACACCCCAGATGTCATGTGTACAGTATTGAAATAAAAAAGAAATGAAAACATGTTTAAATCACAATACCGGAACTTGATTCCCTATCACACAATACAGATAAATAAACACATGGTTACATGAGTCCCCCCAGTCGTCTGAGGGGGTTCCATGAGCGCTGTCGTTCCATGATAAGAGAGAACCACTCTTTAGGTAGCGGACTACGGAATCACAAAAAGATGATGAGATACAATGAAATTGAAGCAAGCAATAATATGAATAAAACTGTCGTGGCACAAACGACTACTGTGTCTATGTGGAGGGGTCCTGGCCGTGTTCTTCTTCTTGTGTTGGTCCGCAGGTACACGTTGGGATGTGGAGTCTGCCAACCTTCTTTCTTGTGAGGCCTCCGCGTTGTAGACAGTCAACACAGATCACAATGCACTGTGTGTCTGTCGGTCAACTGCCCGTCCGTGGTCACTGGATCGGTGGTGTCGGTTGATTGACACTTGTTGTGGAGGTAGGGTCGCCTGAGCCCACTCCTGGTACTGGATCTGGAACCTTCTTGCAATGGGATGCATGGACCCAAGTTGCCCTTTCAGCTACCTTGGCCGCTGTTTGGGTGACCAGGAGAATCTGGAATGGACCATGCCACCGTTTAGCTTTCCAACTTTTCCTCCTGAAGTCCTTCACCACCACAAAGTCACCTGGTTGCAGTCGGTGTAGTGGACCCGTTGCTTCTCTTGGAAGTGCAGCTACAACCTGTTTTCTTACATCAGACAAAGTGGAAGACAGTCGAATGCAATAGGTTAACATGTCATTCTTGCACATTGTGGTGGAAGGGAGTGGTGTTCCTGGAGCTTCCACACCTATATGGGGAGGAACTGCGAAAAGGATTTCAAATGGGCTTAGGTTGCTGCGTGTTCGTTTCCTCATCTGCATGTACATCAGAACCAATGGCAGTGCTTTTGTCCACGGTAGACCTGTGTCTGTGCAACATTTGGCCAGTTTGGTTTTCAATGTTCCATTCTCTCTTCCTACCGCTCCTCCACTAGCTGGTTGGTATGCGCAGTGTGTTTTTAAGTCAATACCCAGGTATGCACTTAATTCTGTGATTGCTTGGTTGACAAAATGTGAACCATTGTCGCTAGAAATTTTGCTTGGGATTCCCCAGCGGGGAATGATCTCTGAAATCAAGGCTTTAGCCACTGTGGAGGCTGTCTGCTTACTGGAGGGAAACGCCTCAACCCATTTGGACCACATGTCTACCATTACAAGACAGTGTTTCTTACCTTCCGATGGGGAGAGTTCCACAAAATCCATCATTACATGTTCAAACGGTCTTGCAGGCGGTGGATGTGCTGCATGATGTGACACCTGTACTGAACGACCTACATTGTGAGTTGCACATGTTATGCATGCTTGGCAGAACCTTTGTGTGGAGACAAAGTGAGGCTCTCCATACTTTCCCTGAGTGCCTCGTTGTAGCCACTAGCACCACGACAACACCAGCCCCCCACTCTCTCCCTCTGCCAATCCCAGGCTTCCTCAATCAATTGTGCCCCCCATACACAAAGGTAGCTAGGATGATTGACAGGCTTAACCGTTTCAAAACATGAGACACTCACTGACCTCCTAAACTGGAAAAATGTGATCAGTTACTCCTGTCCTGAGCCCGTATAAGACATTTACATAACATCAGAATCAGAAGTCAGAAGCCATTTATTGCCATGTATGTTACACATAAAGGAATTTGTCGTGGTGGATGGTGCAAAAAACAGAGACACTGAATTAAAAGAATAAAATAAGTAAAATTAGATAAAAATGTACAAGCAAAAATGAAGAAAAAAACAAATAAATGGCTGTACATGAAAAAGTCTGGGTCAGTGGGGGATTCAGACTTGGTTCATGAGACCAACTTACGAGGGGAAGAAGCTGCTTCTATGGCGGGAGGTTTTGGTCTTGATGAGGGAAGGGGCTCAAAAAGCGAGAGGGGTCACCTACAGTCACGGAGGGACGGCAGCTGATGTTCAGCTCCTACTTGAAGTCCTGGCATGTGATGGAGCCCAGGAAGCGGCAGGACTCCACAGCGGTGACGGGGAAATCCCGCAGGGCGATCGGGGAAGGTGGGGCTGCCAACAACCATCTTCACTGTGTTGTCCACGTGTCACTCAGTCTGTAAATAAGTTGGTTAAATGTAGCTGGTAGATGATTTGAG